TTCAGCACCGTAAAGACTGCGCAGACGCGTTAGGCATATCAGTTTATTCTAAAAGCTGCAAACAGCCGAAAGGCGGGTAGGGGAAAAGGTATTGCAAAGAGAGGCCGGTGTACAACAAGACCCGATCGCAGGAGTAAACCGCCCCCTGAGAATGGGTAAGGGCCTTGCCTAACTGTTGATAGCTGAGCAAAAGAGGGTTAACCTAAAATCAGATCTAATCTAGTAGAGGACCCAGTGGAAAATGATAAGCAGGTGCAATGTGAAAAATTATAAAGGCGGGGGCGGGTGGGGGCCGGGGGGGGGGGGGGGAGTGTCTTCTGCCTTCCCTCCTGGACCGTTTTCCCCAGCAGAAATGGCCACGACGGGCTATTTGGCCCTTCCTCGTGTTCCATGAGTCCGGGGGTTATGTGACCGTGGAGTCTCAACCTGACTCGTTGCACAAGTCTTGTAGGCTTGCCGAGGACAGGTTAGGAAATTTTCTCTCTCTCTTTTCCTCTTCTTTCAATTTATCGATAAAAAAACTGGGGGAGGGGGAAATTCCTGGAGATTTGGGGATGGAGCCTGGGGGGTGTTGGGGAGGAGAGGGAGCGCACCGGGGCATAATACTGTTGAGTTCACCTTCCAAAGCAGACATTTTCTCCAGGGGAACTGTAGTCTGGAGACCAGTTATAATTTCAGGCGATCTCCAGGATCTGCCTGGAGGTTGGCAGCTCTACAGCCATATCATTACTCTCAAAGATAGTATTCTTCTGAATTCTGTGATTTTTTAATCATATCCATTCCATGCAGTCCAGTGTCCTGTTTTGCACTCTAACAAGAAGGGGCACAGAGGATCGGAGGATCAAGCTTCCACCTTCTTTTGAACTGGCATTCAAAGGTATGCTGCCCCTGGACATGGAGGCTCCATTTAGCCATCCAGGCTCAGGGATGGACCTATCCTCCAGGAATTTGTCTTATCCCTTTATAAGACCACCTAGACTGGTGGCCATCATTCTGTCTTGTGGCAGGGAGTTCCACAAGTTAACTATGCATTGTGTAAAGAAGTATCTCCTTTTGTCTGTTCTGGATCTACTGCCTCTGAATAGCATTATGGGACCCCTGTGACATGAATGGAAAGCCACTCAAAATTGAGAGAGAGGATAGCAGCCTTCCCCCCCGCCACACAGACTGAGATAAAAACTAAGTTTCTAAAACATCTGAAAACTTTCACAATGTCCTTTCCTTCAGAAACCTTCATTAACAATTGGCAAAATGCCCTTTGTAAAAAAAAAAAAGCAGTCAATTAATGGATCAATAGGAATTGTAAACAAATGAATAAGCTAAAGGTCTGGCAGTCCGACCGAGAAGATTTCCGTTAGGAGTTCTCAAAGTATAAACACTAACTACAATTTGAACATTGTCTTCAAACATCTCCTTCCCTTTCGAAGTCATGTTCACTTTGGAACGAGGGTCGATCGAATAAAGTCCCTAAAACATATTCTGCGAATAATATAAAATAAATCCTACTATGTGAAATGCCTTTCTGAACTCACAGCCAATATAAACAACAAGAGCTATGTGAAAACTGTACCTATCCAAATGCCTTCAGGTTGCATGTCTGATAATCAGAAGTTCATAGTTCGCAGTTGGCTGATTCACACAATCGGGTTCGCCTCTGCGTGGCTGGGAATGAGGCACAATCAGCTGGCATTTGGCACAGTAATCAAGGGTGGAGGAATTACCCATGGCACACGCATGCACGAAACCATCTGGGTACAGCTGAGATGCTGAATTCATTCCTGCAACATTCAGTCATCGCAACGTGTCCCATGTATACACACACAACCCTGCCAGTCCCAGTGTGCGTAGCACCCTTGCTTAGCTGAATGTCTTTGGGACTGTGTGACTGAGTGCTAGAATGCATACAGAGGGTTCTGTGGGTGTGACGGCATTTGGCTATGTACACAATATTAATCCTGGATTCTGTGTCCTGGGTTCAAATTACAATTAAGGCATCCGTGGATGACCTTTCTGTGGCTGAGACTCTGGGGAGCCACTGCCAGCTTGGGGGACAAGGGTGAGCTAGATCAGGGGTGGCCAAACTGTGGCTTGGGAGCCACATGCGGCTCTGTCACACCTATCATGCGGCTCCCGGCAGGGCGGCTGGGGAAGTGAAGGGGAGGCAGGCCTCCCACATCGGTCTTCCCTTCCCCAGCCAGTGTTCCCCTCCCTGGGTAAGCTTGAGGTGGAAGGGGGAGCAGAGAAAGAAAGCAAATTTAACTTTAAATGCATTCCCAAAGGACCCCCCCCCCCACCGGCCAGCAGAAGGCATTTCTCTCTTTAAATCCCTCCCCCAAGCCAAGCCGGCTGGTATGGGGGTGGGGGGGTTGAAGAAGGTGTTTAAAGTTGAAGTTGCTCTCTCTCTCTCTCTCTCTCTCTCTCTCTCTCTCTCTCTCTCTCTCTCTCTGACAAATAAATATAATTAGCAAAGAAATAAATATCATTGGACAAATAAATATCATTACCAATATCTGTTTCTACCTTTTGTTTTTATTTTCGGCAGTCTCACTTAATAAAAGGGAAAATCGCATATCTTTTAATTAAGATGTGTCTGTAATATTTGTTCGGCAGTCTTACTTAAAAAGCAAACGTGCATCTTTTTTAAAATAAAAATGTGTCTGTAATATCTGTTCATGTTTTGCGGCTCTCAGACGTCTGACGTTTATTCTATGTGGCTCATGTTTAAGCAAGTTTGGCCACCCCTGAGCTAGATGGACCTGTGGTCTGACCCTGTATAAAGGAGCTCCAGATCTTACTGTAGAGGAGTCATCGCTCAACGGTAGGTCATATACTTTACACAAAGAAGGCCGCAGGTTCAATCCCTGGCATCACTAGGTCTCTATTGGAAGGCCGAGTTCATACCCTGGTTCCGAGAGGCTACACTGACCTAGACGGGCCAATGGATTGACCTGGTACACAGTGTTCCTTCTGATCTACTTCTCCTCCGAATCAGATGAACACAGGCAACGGTACAGTGTGAATTATGCCTCATGAAGTGGGAAGACCTCGTTCTTCTCCAAGCACTTTCCAAAATGCCACAGGGGAGTGTCGGAGTGCCGATTGTGTTTGTCTCTTTTGTGCAATGCGGCCGATTTACACGGATTGCAGTGCATGCTCCATTGAAACACAAAGCCCTTTTCTTACACTTTGTTGACGGTGCGCTAACAACAACGACGTTCATGCAGGCCTATGCGACAGGTTGCCCCAGAGGCATTGCCCCCCCCCCAGAGAGAGGCATGCGGCTGTCTGAAAGAAGTTGCGGGCCCAAGGCTCAGTGGCCACAGCCAACGCTGAACAAACGTAGGCCAGACTTAACGTTTTGGCAGATTTCGGGGGGCTTTGAAACGGTGAAATCAAGCAACGAGAAACATTCCCCCCTCTGCCTGTTTGTCACCTCGAGGACCTGACATTTGGCACAAAAGCTGACTGAGATCTCTTTTGCTTTTATGCCCAGCTTCAAAAACTGTGAAAGGCTGAGGGGAAAGCAATGCACAGTTCTGAATTGATTGATTTATTTGATTCTTAGCCCGCCCGCCTCGCCAAGGCAGGCTCAGGGCGGCTTACAAAAAGAACAATAGATAAAACAACAATGTAAAAATCGATATAATATACACAATACAATGATTAAAACCATTCGCATAATGACGGTGTTAACGGTTGTGGTAAAGTGCACATAGGCTGATACATCCAGTATTGGCGGGCTCAGGCTGGAAATAAAATTGGCCCAGGGCAAAGATGATGGAACGCAGCTCCTTACCGAAATGCCTGACGGAAGAGCTCCGTTTTCGCGGCCCCGCAGAACGGTGAAAGGTCCCTCAGGGCCCCGATCTCATCCGGAAGCTCATTCCAGTAAGTTGGAGCTGCCACAGAAAAAGCCCTGGATCCATTTTCCCTCCAAAGCCACCATGGACCGCTTCTCATTAACGATCATTAACAATACAAACCTAGTATGGATACAGCTCCCACTTACTGGAATGAACTTCCAGGCGAGTTCAGGGCCCTGCGGGACCTTTCACAGTTCTGCAGGGCCGCGAAAACGGAGCTCTTCCCGTCAGGCATTTCGGTAAGGAGCAGCATTTCATCATCTATGCCCTGTGCCAATTTTACTGCCAGCCTCAGCCCACCGAGAGTGGATGTACCGGTGAACGTATGTCTCTATATGCACTTTACCACAACCGTATCACTATCGGTATGTTAATGGTTTTAATACCCTATCCCAGTGATGGCAAACCTTTTAGAGACCGAGTGCCCAAGCTGTGACCCAAAACCCACTTATTTATTGCCAAGTGCCAACACGGCAATTTAACCTGAATACGGAGGTATTACTTTAGAAAAAACAACTCAAACATTAACTTAAGATGATCCAAACATAGTAAGGAAAGCAATCCCAAATGCTTTCATTTACTTAAAATTATTTGGCAGAGAATTCGACACTTTAATGATGGTCTGGCCCTGGCTGGGGCGATGGCACACGTGCCCGCAGGGCTCTGAGTGCCACCTCTGGCACCCGTGCCACAGGTTCACCACCACTGCCCTATCATGTATTTTATATCGACATTTATATGGTTTTATCTACTGTTTTCTTATGTAAGCCGCCCTGAGCCTGCCTTGGCGGGGAGGGTGTGGGTAAAAATCAAATAAATCAAATAAATCAGTAAATAAATAAATAAATACAAAAATTCACTAGTTTCAGCGGGTACCTGTGTTGGTCTGCAGTAGAAAACCTAGATTTGAGACCCAGTGGCACCCCAAAGACCAACAAGATTTGGGGGGGATAGGCTTTCAAGAGTCAAATCCTGGTATCCGATGAAGGGGGCTTTGATTCTCGAAAGCTGAACACCCCCAAAATCTCGTCTCTGAAAAAAAACAACTGTTGCATGCAGTCTCCTTGTCTTAAAAGAACACGAGCCACTGCCCTCATTTTCTTCCCTTCTCTTCGAACCTCTGATCATGAGACTCACCGATCCCCGGGAACAGCTAGTACCGGCCCGGTTCAGAACTTGCTTGGGGCTCTCTCCGTTGATCCCCACCAAGGTGATGGAGACCACGTCAAAGGTCCCGGTCAGGAGCCCTTGGCCGGTGGCCACTCGGACCTTGTAGATGATCGGTTCACTTGGCTTGCTGCAGAAGATCCCAGTTGGTTCCATCCTGCCCGCGTAGGGGCTCTCGGGAGATCGGGACAGATAGAGGCCGGAAAGGGTTGGAGAAAGATCTGGAGATCCTTCCCTCGCGTGGTGCACAGGTGAGACAAACATCTGTGTTAGGAACCGGCTCTTCTCCCTTTAGGATAATTACACCCCAGGTGCCTTCAAGCAATGAACAAGCTGTCAAGTCAAGACTCCGCCTACCCTATCTCTCTCCTGCCACCAGTTCCCTGCTGCCTCCCACAACACAGTCCATCGTTTATATAGGCACCTTCCTTCTTCCCAAAGTTGAAAGGGCTGTGGGGAGAAAGAGAACCTCCAGTCTCGCAGCCGTGTCTCCATTGTGGGTGGCAACCCCACACCAGGATGGATATGTCTTAGCAGGGGTTGGGAAGGACGGACAGATCTGATCTAATGAGACGGGGCATGAATAAAGATGAAGAGAGAGAAATGCTGGATCGTTGCCCATGAACGTGTTAATAGGGAGTTTTGGTGTTTGTGCACAAGTAAAGTTTCGTGAAACTCCCATTTGGTGCATCTTTTGTAACATGCTGCTCCGTTCCTTTTGTTTGCTGCTGCGTCTTCCCTGACCTGCAGCTTTGGTGCAACTGGTTTGAGCAAAAAACCAGGATTCTTTCTCCGCAGTCCCAGCCAATCAGGGATCACAGAAGTGGTGGGATGAAGTCATATCAGACTGGCTACGTTAATGACACCATAATGGCAAATCAAAGTGAGGGCAAGGTTTCCTTGCCCTGCACTGGACAAGGGGATTTTTCATGCTGTTTTTCAGCCCTCCCAACATAGTCCCAGCCAATCAGGGATCACAGAAGTGGTGGGATGAAGTCATATCAGATTGGCTACGGTGATGACCCCATAATGGCAAATCAAAGTTGGGGCAACGTTTCCTTGCCCTGCACTGTACAAGGGGATTTTTCATGCTGTTTTTCAGCCCTCCCAACATTACTGAAATGGGGACGGGGCGTTCTGTAGGTGATGCTTTTCCTGAAACAACTTCCCCTTTTCTATACTAAATTAGCAGGAAGAGAAAGAAAGAAAGAAAGAAAGAAAGAAAGAAAGGAAGGAAGGAAGGAAGGAAGGAAGGAAGGAAGGAAGGAAGGAAGGAAGGAAGGAAG